TCTCTTTGTGTATTTTTGGTAGGCAGTAAAGTCTAGGTGCTGTCTCTTATACACATCTTCTAATCCATAAAGATTCTCTGACTTTTCGTTCAAACCATGAGCTTTCTTTCTGTAATATTTTTATGTCCCAATTTGGAATATGATTTAGTTGTGTGGCATGATCGGTGATTGCAGATTTATTTAAAAATTTGCGGTAAGCAGAGACACCAAACCCGTGGATGAGTTGATCGTAGCCACCGAGGCAGCATGTAAGCTAGCGCCTGAAAACGAACGGGACCTTATTAGAGGTAAAATTACCAGTATTATTAAATCCTCATAGATACCACCTAACAACATAACATCTGAAGAAAGAAAAGCTCTTAATCAATTAAAAAGGGATAAAAACATTCTAATTCTACCGGCAGATAAAGGAAGGGCAACAGTTCTTCTAAACACAGTAGATTATAAAGAAAAAGTGAAAACGATGTTGGCAGATAACAGTACGTATGAATGTCTAACACATAATCCAACTCAGAAATACAAGAGAAACTTAGTTACACTCATAAACAAATGGAAAAATGACAAGAAAATTTCAGAGAAACTCAAACACCTCTTATTTCCAACGGCGGAATTTACACCTAGACTTTACTGCCTACCAAAAATACACAAAGAGAACTGGCCCTTACGACCCATCGTAGACAATATTAACACAATTTACTACCAGGCTTCCAGATTATTAGCAGACATACTTAGCCCCTTGATTGGTCTCACAGAACATCATGTGGAGAACTCAAAACAATTAACAAAAGAACTAAGAGATATACATGTACGGCCCACCGAGACAATAGTTTCGTTTGATGTCATTTCATTATTCACCAAGACACCTACAGGCCCAGCAATAAAAAAAGTGGAAAAACGTTTGTTACAAGACACTCAACTAAAATTAAGAACTGGCTTGCATACAGAGGACATTATTGAACTCTTAAAACAGGTATTAAATGCGACATATTTTAGTTTTAACAACAGCATATTCAGACAAAAACAAGGAATTGCTATGGGCAGTCCTGTGAGTCCCATCATCGCAAACTTCTTCATGGAATGGTTAGAACAACAAGCAATTACATCAGCACCAATTGAAATCAAACCATCATATTGGAGAAGATATGTAGATGACATATTAGCCATAATTCCGGAGAATGCAACCACGCCACTTTTAAATCATCTCAACAACATAGATCCGTCGAAAAACGTCCAATTCACAATTGAACATCTGGAAAACGGAAAGATACCGTTTCTGGACATTACCATTTCCCTGCAGCATGACGGCTCCCTAAGTATAACAGTATATCGAAAACCAACCCACACTAACCAATATTTGGATTTTCACTCGCATCATCCGTTAGATCAAAAGTTAAGCGTCATCAATACTTTGGTAGACAGATGCGACAATATAGTTACAACAGAAGAAGACAAACATCACGAAATGGAAAACATTAAACAAACACTACACAATTGTAACTATCCCAAATGGGCATTTAAGAAAGTTTTTAATAGAAGAAAGAATAAAGCATCAAACATCAAGGAACGCCAAACTAAAGATTAAATGGAAAAGGCCAGAGGTTCGATAGGTATTCCGTATGTTAAAGGGATGTCCGAACGGTTAAAGAGAACACTAACAACACACAAAATTAACACGTACTTTATTCCACAAAACAAGATCAGACAAGAACTGGTCCACCCTAAAGACAAAATACAAAAAGAGGAAACCTGTGGCTGCATTTACCAAGTATCATGCTTAAATTGCAGAAAAGTATATATTGGTGAAACAGGAAGATCACTTAAAACCAGGATTCAGGAACATCAAACAGATGTTCAAAAGAACACAGTAGGAATCCGATTCCAAAATTTTAAATAAATCTGCAATCACCGATCATGCCACACAACTAAATCATATTCCAAATTGGGACATAAAAATATTACAGAAAGAAAGCTCATGGTTTGAACGAAAAGTCAGAGAATCTTTATGGATTAGAAAAACAACAGATACTATGAACAGAGATGAAGGAGGACACATTCTATCACATATCTATGATGATATCATTTTGAACCACAACACTAAGAGGGGGAGGGGGTGTTCGTCGACGACGCAGCGATGCACTTCGACCTCAACAACACCGAGGTGACGTCAGACCAGACTGGAAATAACATCACCAGTCTACTTGAAAAGGCGAATGGATCGTTCGCGAAACGTAGTGTGAGTACTATTGGTTTTTATTTTGCTGGATCAACACTAATGAAAAATTTCATACAAATTATATTTGGATCCAAATGAATTTATTTCAAAATAATACCGGTATAGCTGGGTGGTGAAAATGCGATCGACACTGTAGTTAAGTTATTGTTCAATAAAGTGAAAAAGTGTGAAAATAATGAATAAACGGTTATCGTGGTTCAAATTTTAAATTAGGTATATTTTAATTGTTTCTGTGTATAACTGTATATTTTTGCATTTGGTTTAGGTAAGAATGTGAAGAAATTGAATATGGTGGGATTAGCTAAAACGCCTATTATTAAGCCTAGTACTGATGCTACGACAACCAATATTCGAGGCTATACATTGGGTTCCGACAGATCAGAAAATATCACACTTAAAATTGTAACTTTAGCCAACACTAGCAGATTGCTATCAGAAGAAATGTTATGCAACAATTTAGCTTTTGAAAACAATGTTCATTGTGAACTCGTTACCAATACTAATGAGGAAGGTAGAGAATTGACTGTCCGTATAGCTAAAATTACTGGTAGACCTAACCTTGAAGACCGAGTCGGTGTTTTTAATGTGTACGCTGAGAAAGGGAATCGAAGCGCCAATGCCACAATCATAGTTCACCATGCTAATGGTAAGGTTACGTATTTTAAGTGTTGTTAAAATGATCTATATCTTCAACATTGATACTAAATCATTAAAATGGCCATCATCATCTTGGTTTCATCATTGTTACATTATCATAATCATCAGCATCGTCCTCGTCGACATCATCGTATATAAATATACCCATGTTGGAAGAAATGGGTTTATATATAATCTATACACCGTGGCTAGAGGTACGGTACTATAGCAAATAAAAAGGATAACAGTTTTGCTAGATTTGGCGGCATCAAGCGAGAGTAAACTATTTTAATAGTAGAAGCCAGGCCTAGCCTAGGCCTGCTACCCCTGCTATCCTATAACTGTGACACTTGTAAGCCTAAACTACTACAAGACTGCTACGTTATTTGTGAGAGAAGTAGTCTATGCCATTTTTGGTTTTTTGACCCCAATTCCCCTTATGTGACCTTTGATCCCAAGTTGTGAAATGGGAGGCGGCACCGGTCCTACTGACCAAGTTTTAATTAAATCGGTCCAGTAGTTTGCCACTAGTAGCCTTTTAAAATGTTGCCAGAAAGAAATAAAGAAACTGCTCAAAAACAGAACCCAGTCAGCATGCTGCTGACTGGGTAAATAATATGTAAACATAGTATAGTTGAGCAGCAAAAGCGAAACCACTGCAGTTGTTATTATAACCAACTCCCTGATCAGTCTCAGAAGTATACGAGTATCAGCCTGAGTCGTATCTAAATTTTAAAAACTCAGTAGTCGGTATGTACACTACTCCCGGATGCATGCTTTTCGGACGGACCGAACGAACGCGAATTTCGCCTCAAGCGAGGACAATTAAGACAGGATTGAGCACCTGGCCAAAACCATTTTCAACGTGTGATTAAAAAACATAATAAAACCACAGAGAGGCAGCTGCAGTGTGCGCATAGTATATTATTTATTGGATACTCAATCAATAGACGAATTCATTTTTATTATGTGGTATCTACGGTTATTGGCGGCTGGTTTAATTCAGATTAAAGTTTTTTTTTTCTTCTGAGGTTAAAATTATGCTAAATTTTGCTAAAATTATGCCAGCACATATGCTAGATGGTAAATGTGTCAAAATTATGCTAAAAAGCATAATTATTCTAGGTCTGGTCACTATGATGTGTACCCAGTGGCGTAGCCAGTGGGTCAAGTGGGAAGTGCCCCGGGCGCCAGGTTTGAGGGGGCACTGAAATGGGACAATAACACGACGAAATTGATGTATTTTGTCAGCCATGAATATATTCCAGTTAATAATAAGAATCTGAATGAAGTTGTTTTTATTGGCAAATTTATAGATTGTGATTTCTTTTCAGTTCATTTGGACCGTTTTCTCTTGTATCTTATTCTGTAATGACTACATGACTAAAGTTCATCCTACCATATCTCAGAGCCACGATGGGAAAAGGGGACTGCTTTGGCACACTTAGTATTAGCGTGATGAAGCAGAAACACTACTAACTTCGATCATGTTCATAACTCATTTGCTGATGCAAAAGCACACAAAATTCAGTTGCAAGTTTAAATAGTGTAAAAAATTCAGCAACTTACAAGACTCTACTATAAGATAAATTTAGAGAATAAGAATACTAAGCTGTAGGCCTATCCGATAAATACAACAGCCTTACAAATTAGGATAATGGTAAAGTTGTATACAAAGTTCCGAACATTCTAATCAATAGTAAGGAACAGGAATGGTGCCCGGCCCCCTTATAATTCTTTGGGGAGAAAAAAAATGTATTTTGTACATATTAGTAGACTGTAAAATCGATGAAATAAGCCTTTGAACCCATAAATTGTCAAAACAATGGGGGGGGGGGGAGAGACCACTTTCGGAAGATTTTAAGCGACGCTCGATCACGCACACTTTGCTCTTGTCAAGGAAATCTTCCCCCTCGTCGGGGCATCGCCCCCCGGACCCCCTTCGGGCAAATCCTGGCGCCACCCCTAGTAAGAAAGAACATACGAGAGCTAGATAATAATTAATAATAGTTATTCGGGTTTAAATAATGTTATTTAGACAATGCAGTATGATATGCCATGGACGTACAGTACGGATATGCTTAAAGTCTATACAGCCAATATCAATTAATTTCAAAATATTATAATTATAATGGAGGGGGGAGGGGAGGCAATTTTCTACTTTTGCCCCTCGGGCGCCAAACCCTCTAGCTACGCCACTGGCGTACCCAAGTTAGGTCACTTGACCGCCTGTAAACAATCATCGCTAAATCCCTCTATTCTACCTTCGTTTATGCGGTAATAATTTAAGGAAGGCTCAATACAAACCTTCAATTTGAAGAAAGCCTAATCATTCAGGAGCGCCTTATTTCATTATTTTAGCATTTACCATATCCCGTTTGTTTGCCGTGTATTAAAGACACAACAAATGCACACCCCACACATTGTGCCCACACTGTTCTGCTCTCCCCTTCGAAAAAAAAAAAACCCTCTCAAGTAACAAATACTTTTTTTTATAAAAAAAAAGCTTACGTACAACCAATTACTCGCACCAAGACTGTTAGCATAAATGACAGAAATGTTACATTGGGCGTCATTAATCTCAACTCGACTATTGAAAGTGATCTACTATGGACAAAAGATGGAAAGAATAACAGTGCATGGGATGGTAAAGCAACTATTTCATTTGAAAATATTACATTGAATGATGCTGGAGTTTATGAATGTTATAGTTCTTCAGCTGACTACAATCGGGAAAATGGATATCATGCTTTCATGCAACTGATAGTGAGAGGTAGGTCCTAAAGTTAATACATTTTAACTCGTTGTCATGATGTTGGTAGTTATTTATAAAATTCATATTAATTTAATGATCGGTATTCTAAACCTAATTGTAACAAAATATAATTTATTCATGTCAAAAGTTGGAAAGCAATAAAGTAAACATAAGTTCATAATATTATTATTAGGCCTATTATAAAATAAAGTTTATTTTTTGACAAACTTGAGTAGGAACATAGGGGTTAAATTTTACGGAAACTGTAAATAAGTTAAATAAAAACTGCTCTATCTTTTTAGTAATATCATTTTTTAGAATATGTGATGTGTAATAAACTATTTTTTTTCTTCAGTTTCATTTTAATTTATCAGTTTTATTTTACAACCGGAATAAGTTCTACAGTTTATCTTTCCAAAGGAAAATCTCTCAATCTTGCTCTTTCAAACCGGGGTTTCACACGGTATTATATTTCTATTTTTTAACAACTCCAAGAAAAAATTAGTACCAACTTATATGACAGTGCTTTATAATTCATGTTCAAATATTTCTTATTGTGAAATATTTATCGGACTATAACATGTATTGTATCATTATTAATTCCACATAAGCCCCTATTATATTATTCACCTCTTCTGTAGTAGCGCAAATTTTGTTTACCGTTGTTAAAATATGTTTCAGAATGTCCACATAACAAGTGGTCTCCACCCGAATGTCAGGAGCACTGTAAGATATGCTATAATGGAGGCGTATGTGATGAATATATTGGAAACTGTATATGTTCTTCTGGATTTATTGGAGATAAATGCGAAATATGTGAGTTTAAGTGTATTTATATTTCAATTTCATTTTTTATCAATGTTGTATTTTCCAGAAGTTTGAACCAAAACATATTGATAAAACTCCATTGAAGTGGTAATATGACGTATAACAACCTAATTTGATTACACAAAAAGCAGTAATGTTTCCTGAAATCAATGAACAAATGTTTCCGGGTACCAAGTTTCGTCAAACTTGACGAAGGTTGATAAATGAACAAGTTTGCTCATTGATTTAATGAATCATGGTAATCTATTATTCTAAATC